AATTCAAGCTCTTAGGAAAGGCCATTGTCACAAAATCATAAATCTTTCCCCGGAAAACAAAGATGTACAACTCTGACTTACACTGCTCCATTTAGTCCAGATGTGAGCATTAACTCTCTTGATTGCTATGCTTAAAGAACGAATCAGTGACTACAGTGCGTGATAGTGATTAATGTTATCATCAGAGAAGATTGGCTTTTAGCCCATTTTTCCAGTGTTGAAGGAAGTACTGGCATTTTTTAAAACATAAATGTGGCATGATTGTCTGAGGTTTAACATAGTCTTTTCTTTGTTTCATTTATTGCCACCACCAGAAATAGGCAAAAAAATAATAATGGGCTACACCTTTTTGTAATTTTCCAGCAAGTCTAAGTAGCACAATGTCACGTTTCTTTGGAAGGGGCAGAGAAAATAGGGTTGAGAGCCACCAATTGTTTCTGATCAGAGACTACTTCAGCTTTTTTGAGCCTTAGGCTAGTTTGTTGCAACCAAAGATGCTCGGTGAAGAGTTTTCTGGCTTATGAAACGTATTCTGTTACTTAGCAACAGCTCCTCTTGCTCCTCATCATCTTTAGTGTCTCAAACACTAAAATTCTCCACATGAAATTCAAGGTAACTTACAGTTATAGTAATACTACTAAAAAGAGAATCATATAAATGGACAGAAAGCCAATTTAATTACAGTCTAGAAATTAAAAATGATAAGTGTAAATTATAGATTGGTTTTGTACATCTCATTAATATACCATATTTTTCGGAGTATAAGATGCACCGGAGTATAAGACATACCAAGGTTTTGAAGCGGCAAATAAAAAAAAACATTTTTGCACTCTGCAAACCTTCCAAAAACAGCCCGTTTTTTGCGAAAATGGGCCTGTGTTCCCCCCCAAAAAGGCATGAATAGCCTTTAGGGGGCTTGCAGAGTGCTCCTGGGGGGTGCCCCCTCAAAATGAGCAAAAATGGCAATTTTTTCACAAAAACAGGCCCATTTTTGGTCAAAATATTTGCATGCATAGTCTTTAGGAGGTTTATAGAGTACTCCTGGGCTCTGGAGTGGGGGGCAAAATTGAGCAAAAAACAGCCCGTTTTTCACTCATTTCTGCCTTCCCCAGCCCCCAGGAGCTCTCTGAAAGCCTTCTAAAGGCTCTGCATGGCCATTTTGGTGAAGGGGGCTGGGTTTTGGGAGGCAAAATATGCTGTATTCAGTGTGTACGACGCACCCAGATTTTCAGCCTCTTTTTTGAGAGAAAAAGATGCGTCTTATACTTCAAAAAATACGGTATGTTAAGACTCCTATCTCTGAAATAAAGATGTGATATAAAATTAACAGACATATATCTGTGCTATCTTTCCTAAACTCAGGTTGCTCTCATATTCCACATAATCCCAAACCGTGTTAATTTAGTGGTTTGATTATCTATAGAGTTACAATGTCGGGCAAAATACCTGTCATGCGCAAAGAATGAGGACCACACATTAAATTCCAGTTAAACTGATTTATTGTTCATGCCTATACACAAAATCTAGTGGTCAATTAACAGCGCTAAATTGGCACTACATAAATTAATGAGCTTGTTGATCAGCAAGGTCGACAGTTCTGCAGTTCAAATCCCTAGGGCCGTGTAATGGAATGAGCTCCCATTACTTGTCCCACTTCTGCCAACCTAACAGTTTGAAAGCACATAAAAATGCAAGTAGGAAAACAGGAACCCCCTTTGGTGGGAAGGTAACAGTGCTCCGTGTGCCTTCAGTGTTTAGTCATACCAGCCACATGACCACGGCGATGTCTTCGGACAACGCTGGCTCTTCGGCTTTGAAATGGAGATGAACACCACTCCCTAGAATAAGGAACAACTAACACATATGTGCGAGGGGAACCTTTACCTTTAAACTAATGGAATTCAAGAAGGGCTGAATTTGGACCACTTATGGGAATGTAATGATTCCAGGCTGATTCCTCTCTTGACTCTGTCCTCAGGTTCTGCTTGTTCTTCTATAAATACCTGAATCAGGCTGTGGTCAAACACTCATACAAGAGTAGGATATTTTAAATTTGAAGCAGGCGTCTAGCTCAAGTTCTGATTACCAATCAATTGGGCCACATTCAAGCTTATGGGGAACCTTTTTCATTTCTTCCTGGTAGTTAGTAGGTTGTGTGAATATGGTGCTGTGAGGAAAGCTTGTGATATCAGTAAGAGAGCACAGTTTGGGGATCAGAAATAGCCTGTTACATTAAGGACATTTGATCTTGCAGTCAAGAGGAAATTCTCTCAGTGTGTGAAAAGATTGCAGATATGTTTAATACAACATAATTTTTGCTTTGTTTAAATCAGGTTGTCCAACCATGGCAATTTTAAGACTTGTGGATGTAAGTGTTAAAGAGCTAAACCTTAACGTTGCTAAGATTAGACACCCCTGGTTTAAATAGTCAACATATTTCCATGGAATTCTGGCTCATATGCCAAAGTGACACCATCGAACTGTTTATTGCATGGACTCTTCATGAGTTCCTCTTAAAAGGTATTTTCTATAGAGCCCAGATCACTGAATAGATCGGGCATAGCATTCATTAGCAATTTTTCCATTCCCCAAGAGGTGCATATTCATCTGACCTTCCCTTGAATCAGGCTGACATGTCATCATTCCTGTACAATTCTACCAAAATCAACTTCCCTTATGTAATATATTAAATATGGGGAGGAAAATACACATCCCCTACATGTATTAACCACTTTTTTTGTTTCATTGACTACTACTTTCTTTTGTTGTACGGAACCAGCTTATTCCACCGCTTTGTGTAAAATGACAATAACCATTGAGAGACCTTCTTATTCATACTATTTTCTGGCTCACTGAACTGTGTAAATTGGAACAAAAAGTGTTATGTATAAGTAAAGTGTTAAGTATAAGGAAATGAATTTGGTCAAGTAGCTTGATCTATTCTAGACCCTTTGGTTAACTATTGAAGCAGAATGATATCCATTAATCCCTACTTCTTTAAAGTATCCTAATGTATTCTTCTGGAATATGTCTCCGTATGGAGAAATAGTGCTTCAACAGGCATATTATTTTTTCCATCAGGGAAAAGAGGGTGTCAAGTCAAACTCACATGAACCAGGATCTGTGCCAATATCCACAAGTGAGGGAGTGCAGAGAGCATCGCCTAGTAGCCCTGGCAGTTTTGCTCATGTACACCTTTTTCATGGCAAGGAGGAATAGAAAGGTAAAGCCATCCTTCTAATGCTCTGGTAGGAACTGCAGCAAGATCAGCTTCCTATTTTATCGAGGCATTTCCCATTCCTTAATTCCCCACAGATAGCAGAAACATGAGGACAAAGTAAAGTAGGAGTAGGAGGGCTGGTAGGATGGACAGGGGAGAGAGCTTTGCTCAAGACCCCATGAGCTGAAAAGTCAGCCTGTAGGATGTGAGGTGGAGGTTGAAGGTTCAAATCTGTTATCAGATCAGATTTTTGTGGATCATTTTCATAGAATTAAATGCTTTGAAAAATTGTTTTTAGAAAACTCCTTTTTAGGGGGTGTCACAAAATTATTATTTTTTTTAATTTTGACCGACAACAGTGTTAGCCTCCTGGCAAGTTATTTAGATTTAATTTCATGTTCATGATAGAATTTTGTAGTAAAAGTCAAAGCAATCATCTCAATATTATTAAATATGTTTGAAACTGATTTTTTATTGTAAGGAAACAGAAAGCAAGCCAGGGCTGAAATTGAATATTGACTGAACTGGCAATAACCCCACATTTAACTCAATGAAATTTACATCTATTTATGTGTCTGTAAAGAGGGACAGTAGAAATTTTGAACAGAATACCGTATAAGGTGCACTTTCCCCTCCAAAAAAGTGGGTGGAAATGTCTGTGCATCTTATAGTGCAAATGTTGCCAAAGCCCCGCCCACCTGCCAGCCCCACACTTCTGCTTCCGCACACTCCATTTTTGGCCTCTGTGTGTCCTGTTTTCAGCCTCCATATGCCTCATTTTCGGACTACATGCATCCCATTTTCGGCCAATTCCAGGCAGCAGGGATTGTCGCCGCTACCGCTGATCGCTGCTGCCTATAACAATCCCTGCTGCCTACAATGGGCTGAAAATGGGATGTGCAGAAGCCAAAAATGGGATGCACGAAGGCCGAAAATGGGACATGTAGAAACAAAAAATAGGGTACGTCGAGGCCAAAAATGGGACACGCAGAGGCAGTGATAGTGGCAGCGATCTCCGCACCCTGGAACAGCTGATTGGTGGTATTCCGGGAGGCTGATCCAATCGCCAATCAGCTGCTTGTGCTAAATCAGGCTATGATAATGTGCTGAAGTTGACCAGGCTGTTTGCTGTTTGCTGCAAGGATGCTAGGCAGATGACTACTGGATGGATGCTGGGAGGCAGAAGCAGATTCTTTTTTTCTCGTTTTCCTCCCCAAAAGCTAGGTACATCTTATGGTCCGGAGCATCTTATAATGCAAAAATACATACCAAAGGTTTCATACCAAAGGTTTGAATGGTGCTTTGTCTTTCAGGCTGTTTATTTTAATATAAGAATTTTTTTTTTAGAAGAGAAAGTGGAAAAAAGCCAATGTAGGATTTACAGGCCATGTTGAACATTCAGTATACTGTCAAAAGTTGCATTTTTCTGTGTCAACAAATACGTGATTGATGCCATTGAGAACATTCTGATTTACAAACCACAGTGGCTGAGTTCCCAAAAAAATATGATGCAAAAATTGCCTTATGCAATGGAGGGTGTTTGAGTTCAGCCAGTGGTCCACTTGCTTACTGAATATTATATGGCATTGTTGGCTCATAAACACTTTAAAGAAAGCATGTATTTTCATTAAATTATCATGTTATTAATAACCAGATATATTTTAAAAGAAAAGTCTTTATAGCATTTTTACTGCTGCAAAAAGAGGTATGTTTCCCTCTACAGACTCTTCCTTTTTCTTTCATTATCTATATATTTAATTCCTGATCTTTTGTTTTACAGATTTGCCACAGGCCAAGTACACTATTTGTGGCGGAAAAAGGATTGGAAGCTAGATTACGTGATATTTGGTGCTATAAAAGCCCAAGTGTTCCTGTTCTTTGAAGGTATTCCCCCCCCCCCCCAAATATGGCATCCTTATTTTCAAGTTTAGGAATTATTAGTATACTTGGAGATCAGTTTGTGGGATTTTTCGTTGGACTGCTTTGTCGGGCTTGATTTTTTGATCTATTGATTTAAAAGTTATCACAAACTGCCTTGCTTCTCCAGATTGGACTAGTAATAAAATGTTTGCATAAAAAAAGCTGGCTGTTTAGAAATTAAGTGTAATATATATATATATATATATATA